GAAAGACATCAAGTCAACATTGCACTTTATTAGTACTGTTACTGTAAGTGGAAAATGCAATGCCTTGAAAATAAAGCTGTATTTAAATTGGCAAAAAAAAAAAAAGAACACAAAGGGTCCAGATACTGGGATTTGCCAGTGACGAGAAGGAATGATCGCTATAAAGGTTAACTGGAACAGAATGCATGCCTTATAGGGTAAATAAACTTTCTGTATGTTTAATCTAACCAAATACATTATTATCATGTCTATTCTCAACATGGGTCAAGAGGAAGTAGAAATAACTAGTTTCTAAGTTATATTGCCCAGTAATTATATTTCCTCAAAAATATGTGATGTCAGCTCCTTAACATAGCAATGAGAATTCTGAATAAAATGCTCAAATCTTTGGTTATCTAATTGCATAAAATGGCAAATACGAAATAGAGACTTCACAACTGAAAACAACAATGAAAACCCTTGTCCAATACCATTTTAGGAATATTTGATGATCTGTGGATGGGTGTGAAAAATTAGACTCCTAATCTCAAAGACAGATAATGATCATTTATTTAATTGGACAAAAGTACAAGGAGCCTAACTCTTTCGTTTGGATAAAAACTGCCCTTGGAGGAACAGCTTGAAAACCCCCAGTAAGTTTTAGTGCAGAAATATAATTGAAAGAATGTATTGTAGTTAATACAAGAAGTTTGAAATAAATCCTTCCTGAAGATCCTAAAAAATGCAGTAGAAAATAATGGATACAAGACATCATAGATACAAATATATAGACAGAAAAACATCATAGACACAAAAAATAAGTATTTTTATACTTATTTTACACTAACTCATTTTATACTCACTTTGTTATCTTAGTGATTGGTAAAGGAATTCTGTCAATAAAGAAAATTGGGGAAAATATCAAATAAAAAATTACTACCTAATGTTTAATAGTTTGCACTTATTATTATTGGTTGCATAGTAACTGCAAGGTCAGCAGTTTGAAACTACCAACTGCTTCATGGGGAGAAGATGAGGATTTCTAGTCCTGTACAGAGTCATACTCTCAGAATCCTGCAGAGGTAGTTTTTCCGCTGTGGTGTCCTGCAGGGTCTCTGTGATTCAGAATTGACCTTATGCCAGTGAGTTTCATTTTTTTAAAATTTTAATTCTATTACCTGTTTGTCAGTTTGTCCCACTGTGGTGATTTGCGTGTTGCTAGACTCCTGTGAGATATGCATCGATATTTCAATCACCAGCAAGGTCAGCCAAAATGAACAAGTTTCAATAGTCTCCAGAATAAAAAAAGTTGAGGAAGAAAGACCTGGAGATTTACTTCCTAAATAAACCAGGATAAAAGAACCCTATGGGTTTAGCGTGAAAAGGGTCTGATACAGCGCTGGAGGTTGATAAAGTTGTAGGTTGGAAGGCACTAGAACTACAGTGGCTACAGCCATGGACTTGTGCATGTCAACCATTGTGAAGACGGAGCAGTGCTGTGTTCTGTTGCTCCTGGGTCACCATGAGTCGCTTGTCAGTCACTAAGAAAAGCAGCAATCCTATTTTGGCTCCAGCTGTGAGCTAAGAAGTAATTCATGGGGAGAGCCAGGACTTAGGGAGAGTCTTTGTTTAGAAAGGCTTCTAACCAGAGACAGGGATTACAGTAAATGTCCTCATTTATAGCAGAGACTGCTAATCGTCTACCAAATGTCTCTTCTATTTCTTTTCCTTGCTGACAGACTCTGGCTAAACCAATACAATCTCCAGTTTTGCTTGAAGCTAAATATGGCCATGTGACTGAGCTCTGACCAAGTAGAGATTGTAAGATAATTAGAAGTAACCATGTGAGGCTTCCAGCAAGTCTCAGTAAAGGAGACTAACACCACTGCTGACTGCCTTCCTTCTTTCCTTGCTCTCTATCTCATGGTCAGGAGCATGAGAGTCATACCTAAGAATGGAGAATAACAAAGATAAAAGAAATGTGAGTCTCTGGATCAGTTAGGGAACTTCCATACCAATGTTGGACTGCCCACCACCCGAAAAGCAAACAAAGCAACGTACAAAGCCCTCTAAGTTGTTTAAATCATTGGGTTTGAAGTTTCCATTAATAACTAAATACAAATCTTAGGAGACCCACATCAGACACCCAACTCGAGATCTGTGTGTGGACTACATTCAGCCTTTCAACCTTCCTTAGGTAATGAAATCAACTAGATCCTAGAATGCAGGTGATATTATAGGTCTTTTTATTGCTCTAATGTGTGTCTTTATATTAGCATTGTTGCTTGGTAATGGATAATAGCATGAACTCAATAATAGTATGGGTTTCAAATGGTTGTCTCTGCATTCATGGCCTCGGTTTAAATTCAAACACTACCTGCTAAAACATCATTGTCCATGTATTTCTTTGAAAGATTCTAGTCTCTCGTTTTCAGGGTAGCATATTTGATTCTAGGAAACCTTTGCCTAAATTGTCATTTGCACATAGTCATTTGCATGAGCTAGAGCATGAGCTCTTGATAAAATTCAGATTATTTAGGTTAGGGAAGTGTGTTGTCCATGGAGCTACTACTGATTTGCTAGGTATTCTTTACATAGCCTCATCAGATTCTGCCCAGCACCCAACAAACCAGCCTAAGTTACCTTGTTTTTGCCTTAATTTTGGGTGATACCAGACCTTTGTCAATTATTGAAAAACATGTTGTTGCAGGCTTCCTGTTTAATAAATGATAGTGAATAGGGCCAGAGGGTGAAGCAGCAGTGACCCTGCATATGAAAATGTGGTACATGCTTTGCTAAAAAAAGGATAAAGATGAAAGGTCTCTAAGTCACTGCGTGTCCATCCATTGTGCTGTGCAGGCGACACTGACTCACTGTGCTGACAGAGAGGGGAAATCCTGTATTTCCCTCACTGGGGTTTTTGGTTTCATCTTCCTTGAGAGAGGCAGCCGCCTAATTGTTCTGCTGGGGCCCTGGGGCCAGTATTCTAGACACGCTGTGCTGGGTTTCAGGTGGCTTCTATAAATTATGCCCTTGGAACTTTTGGACATAAGCATTTCCTCTTCTATTGTTTTGACACTTGGCAGCATTAGGTTTGTATATGAACGTGCATCTTTTTTCCTTGGTCCAGCCAGGTCTTCATAGGAACATCCTCCCATGTTTACCTGCCATGCTCAAGAGGAGTTAATCAACTCTATATTAGTTTTCAGGTATTATTTCATCATATCAGAACATATTATCAATGTTTTTAACTGGTTACAGTGTAAAGTGTCTATTCTAATCCTTTGATGGCAAGAAAACTAAAAAGTAGTTCAAGACATGGGAATAAGTCAAACAAGTAGAGGACAACATGGTCTACAC